AATACAAAGAATTGATGCACCAAAGAGCTGGTTCTTTGAAAGATTAATAGAATTGACAAACCCTTCCCCAACCTTATCAAAAAAAGAAAAGACTCAAACCCATACAAGTAGGAATGAAAAGAGTGAAATCACCACAGATTCTGCAGAAATCCAGAAGATCAATACCTACTTTGAGAAACTGTATTCTAGTATGATGGAAAACACTGAAGAAATGGACAGGTTCCTAGATACATATGAATTATCAAAGTTGAATCAAGGATATAGAAATTCTAAATAACTCAGTATTAGTCAACAAAACTGAAAATGTACTTGCCGGGTGTGGTGGTACATGCCTGTAATCCCAGCACTTAGGAGGCTGAGGCAGGAGGATCACTGTGAGTTCGAGACCAGGCTGGGCTATAAAAGTGAGCTCAAGGCCAGCCTGAACCACATAGTGAGATCCTGTCTCAAAAAGACCAAAAAAAGAGAAAAGAAAAGAAAAGCAAAAAAAAAAAAAATGTACTTAAAAACCTATGGATAAAGAAAAGCCCAGGCCCTGATGGAGTCACTGCTGAATTCTACAAGAAATTTAAAGGACTTAATGCCACTTCTCAAACTCTTTAATAAAACCAAAAGGGAAGCAATACTCCCAAATTCACTCCTGGAAGCAAGCATTACCCTGATACCAAAACCAGAGAAGAATCCAACCAAAAAAGAGAACTATAGGCCAGTGTCCCTAGTGAACATAGGCACTAAAGTCCTCATTAAGATACTGGCAAACAAAATGCAGTAAGTCATCAAGAAGATTATATACTATGACCAAGTAGGATTCATCACAGGGATGCAGGGATGGTTCAACATATATATGCAAATCAATAAACGAAATACACTATATTAACAGAGCCAATGACAAACACCACACGATCATCTCAATAGATGCAGAGAAAGTGTTTGACAAAGTCCAACACCCATTCATAATAATACCCACAGAAAACTGGAATAGATGGTCTTTATCTCAATCTGATAGCCGGGCATGGTGGCACATGCCTATAATCCCAGCACTCGGGAGGCTGAGGCAGGAGGATTGTTGCAAGTTCGAGACCAGCCTGAGCTACAAAGTGAGCTCAAGGCCAGCCTGAACTGTACAGCGAGACCCTGTCTCAAGAAGACAAAAATAAATAAATAAATATCTCAATCTGATAAAAGCCATCTATGACAAACCAACAGCCAACATCATACTAAATGGTCAAAAATTGAAAACTTTCACTCTAAAATCAGGAACAAGACAAGGATTTCACTAACACCACTCTTACACAATATAGTTCTGGAAACATTCAGAGCAGTTACACAAGAGAAAAAAGTAAAAGCAAGAAAGACAGGAAAGGAAGTTAAACTATCATTTGTAGATGACATGACAGGCTACACAGAAGACCCCAAAAACTCCACCAAAAGATTTCTAGATTTAATAATCAAATTAAGTCAACACTCAAAACTCAACAGCATTCCTGTATACAAATAACAAACTCACTGAGAGAGAAATGAAGGACCATAGTCACAAACTTCCCTACAGGAAAGCAAGGTATGAGTGAGTACAGCCTGACTTTGAAATATCAGCTTAGTGTTTTGTAAGTACAATTTCTAAGGGCTGGGGATTTAGCTCAGTGGCAAAGCGCCTGCCTGGCAAGCGCAAGGTCGTGAGTTCAGTTCCCAGTACCGGAGAAAAACCAAAAAACAAAAACAAAAACAAAAAAAAAAGGACAATTTCTACAAAACACGGCACCATACTGCATTACCTGTCAAGGTGAGTGGTGGTGTAATCAATGGAAAGTGGATTTTACAGTCAGGAGTCTGTGCTCCCACTGTTCCTGTCCCAGATATTTTATACTTCATAGAAAGTTACTTAACTCAGTGAGACGATGTTTTATTAAGAGCCACCAAAAGGCCTACATTTCAAAGTTGGGATTTTAAGACAGCAATGGTGATTTTCTCTTTTTTTTTTTGGTACCAGGAATCAGATTCATGACCTCACAGTTGCCCGGTAGGCACTGTGCCACTGAGCTATATCCCCGACCCAACAATGGTGATTTTCAAAACTCCTTCACATACAAATTACTTGAGTGGAAGCCTGTCCCCTCCAACCTTTTATAGAATGATGTATCTTCTACCTGACACAGGCCCAGAGCAGGCAGAGTGATACTAAACAATTAAGAACCAAGCCTCAACATGTGGACACACTGCTAATACGGTTGGGAACATACATAAAACAGCATGGCAAGATTTGCCAAGGCCTTAAAATATGCTTATATTTCACGAGCAATTTCACATCTTGGAATTTCCAGTGAAGCCTGGGCAAAGGGACCAAGATGTGTTTATTAACAAGGATGTTTATCACAACACTGCTCACAGTTAAAACCCTGGAACAAGCCAGGCACAGTGGGTATCCCACTGCAGCCCTAGCCACTAGGGAGGATCACTGGAGACCAAAAGCACAAGGTCAGTCTGAGCCCCTCAGCAAGACCCCAGCTCTAAAATAATCCTCACAACAAACCTGAAAATACAAACTGTAGACAGCAACAGGAGACTACAGCGTTTAGTAAGATAACACAATGCTTTTCTTTGCAAAGAATGATATGGAGATAAATTTATTGATTTGTAAATATGCTAGTTATTTTTAGGGTGAAAAGGAGTTATATAGTGTGACTATCCTTTCCTCACACACGAAATATGTTCATGTAAGTATAAACATGTACATAATAATCACTGCATCTTTATCTCTGTACATAAAGCCCGACAGAACATAAGCTAAGAGGTCCACAGTATTTATGAAGGGAGATGAGCAGTGACTTTGCAGTACTAAGGAATTGAACCCACAGCTTCATGTGTGTTAGGCAAGTGCTCTACTCCTGAGCTACACCCCAGCCCTTTTAAAATGTTAAAACAGGGTCTCACACATTGCCCAGGTTGGCCTCAAACTTATGATTCTTGCCAGGCATGGTGGCGCATGTGTGCAATCTCAGCACTTGGGAGGCTGAGGCCAGAGGCTCGCCTGGGCTCCATAGTGATTGGATAGCCTAAACTACGTAGAGAGACCTTTTCTCAAACAAAACAAAACAAAACTAAACTGAACTAAACACAACACAACACAAAACATCTTATAATTCTCCTGCCTCAGACAATTTCTCAGAGACAGTGCTTTCACCTGGATTCTACTAGTGCCCTCATAGAAAATGCAGTTTCCCTGAGGTAGGGACACACACCCAACAGGAACCAGCCCTACAGGAGATGAAACACAATGGTATGTTCTAATCCAATCTCTCTTGCCCAAGGCTGAGCATCACTTGTATAGGAGAGGAGGCAACGCTCATTTAGCAATAGGACAGGGTTTCTCGGGGCAGTGGGCTGCTCACCAGCGTACAAGCTCTGTATCCAGTCTACTCTAGGTCAGAAGGACCAGAGGAGCTGACAGCAGAAGAGTGCCATGAGAGGCCTCTATGGAGGGAACCAGCAACTGCCTCTTTTAGAAACATGGGGACAGGAATTTGGATGTGACAGATAAGCAGCTGGGCTCCTGAGATACGGGCTACTTACTAGCATCTATGATCTTAGATAAGTGAGTGAACTTGTCTGTTTCCTCATCTATGGAATGGGAATTGCAGGGTTGTTCTGAGGTTAAAATGAGCTAATACTTATAAAGCACTTACAGTAAGTCTCTGGTTGGTAGTAAGCCCTGACAAAGGTGAGTCATTGTTAATACTATTAATGATATTAAGATAGTAACAATTCCATACTTCCTTATACCCATAACTTACAATTCCTGTTCTCCACTGATCTGTTCTCCTGATAAAATCTGAAATAAACAGGCTTAATATAATTTTAAAAATTTCATCTGACCCCATCAATTTCAAGACTAGAAATGAAACATTATAGGATAAATTAGCATGACAAAATTAAGTTAGATGAATACTGTAACTCATAAATCCCTAGAAGTAAGGCTTCCCAAAGCAGGACTAACTCTGCTCTGGACCCCACAGCCTAGCCCGGCACAGACACCAGAGTGCATGAAAGGCGCCTAGTAACATCTTTGTTGGTTTTTGGCTTTTTGAGACACCATCTCACTGTGCAGTCCAGGCTGCCCTTGAACTCACTATGTAGTTCAGTCTGGTCTCAAACTCACAGTGATCCTCCTGCTTCAGCCTCCTGAGTGCTGGGAGTACAGGCGTATGCACCAATAACATCTTTTGAGTGAACCAAATAAATAAACTTTTAAAGCTGTCACATTCAAATCACCATCTTATCCATGATACTCTGTTCTTTTACCATACCCCAGTTCCTCCCTTAACCTGAAGATTTAGATGCATTTGAAAAAGGAAAGAATACAGAGGTTATTTGGTGGAACCAGGACTAAACTGCTAAGCACTCTGTGAAGGATCGCATGAACCAACCCAAGGGCCATGTTTTAGGAGGCAGGAAAAGCTCAACATGCTTGCCGGTTCACCCTGATACTCACCCCCTGGCTCTCCCCACGACATCTTTTTTCTCTAGCCAGTGTTGTCCTTGTTTATAGAGGCCTCGATCGTCAACAGCATTATTATCTCCTTTGGTCAAAAACTTGATATGCCCATTTTGCCTTAAAGGAGTAAGTAAGAGAAACTCAAGTTATCAAGGCATCTGAAAGACAAAATTTTGCTCTCGTTAAGCAAAAATTCCTACGGTACTGGGATATTTTATTCCCACTCTTAGTATCGAAAGAGTTCTTTAATTAGCTAAAAGAATGTTCCTAATTGTGTTGTTTATAATAAAGATTAAAAGCAAATTAAAAGCCAGATGTGGGGGTGCACACCTGTAATCCCAGCACTCAGAAGGCTGAAGTAGGAGGATTGTTGTGAGTTTGAGGCCAGCCTGGACTACACAGTGAGTTTAAAGTTAGCCTGAACTACATAGAGAGACCCTGTCTCCAAAAAAAAAAAAAAAGAAGTCCAACAGTAAGGAATTGAAATACTATGCAAGTATGAATAACAATGGTATAAGACAGGTATGGTGAAGAGGTGGTGAGGTTGTGAGAGTTGAGGCAGGAGTGCTGACAAGAGTTTGAGGCCAGAATGGGCTACACAGTGAGCTCAAGGCCAGCCTGAACTGCACAGCGAGACTCTGTCTCAAAACACCAAATAAATAAATAAACAAATTAAATAAATAGAACAATGCTATAGAAGAATATTTAATGACTAGAAGAGCATATAAATTTAAATAAAGAAAAGATTACAACATAGCACATACAATATAATCTCATTTTTATAGTTAAGGTAACATTTTCTGGAAATATAAAGAACAAATATATAAACAATATATTAACGTTTTCAGGATATAACTTGCAAAATGCGGACTGGGAAAATACACAATGACCCAGTTTCTTCAAGTAACAAATTCTAAGGAACAAAGAAAGTTGAGAATGGAGCTTCTCTCTAGATAAAATAAGAAACCTACAAAGTCACATCAATGAACTGCAGCCAAAAACCTCTTTGGATCTGGACTCAGGCAGTTACAAAAAGCTAATATATAATAGGGAATCTGAACAAAGGCTGGAAAAAGTACTAAGGGATTATTCACATTAACAGCCTAGTGATTATGCATATTTACTAATATATTCACATATGACATGATAGAATGTCTAGAATTTGACTCAATATAAGAAGAGACGCGGTGGGAGTAATAATGGGGCAGAACTGGCTACACATTAATCACTGGAATGAGGGACAGACACATTGGGTTTTATTCTCCTCAGGCTATAAAATCACTAAATAAAAAAAGAAAAAAAAAAAAACACAAGATGTTGGGCGTGGTGGTGCATGCCTGTGATGTCAGCACTCAGGAGGCTGAGGCAGGAGGATCACCTTGAGTTTGAGGCCAGCCTGGGCCACATACTGAGTTCAAATGAGCCTGAACTACACAGCAAGACCCTGTCTCTAACAAAATAAAAAACCCACAAGAATAGAGCTGGATGTGGTGGTGACACCTGTAATCTCAGCACATGGGAAGCTAAGACAGAAGGACTGCCATGAGTTCAAAGTCAGCCTGAATTACATACACAGGGAGACCCTGTCTCAAAAAAC